CAGGTTCAGAGGAATAGAGGGTGGGACAAAAATCACACATGTCCACTGAGGCCTTTCTTTTATCTGAAGCTATCTTCATTATGTCTGTCTCTTCCCTAGTTACCTAGGTACACGTATGCAGTGATTACTTCCCTGTGGCATTAAACCCATATGCAAACGCACATAGATCATTAGAAGTTTTGGATTTGAATCAGCTAATTTGGTTAAATAGGACTGACCTCAGGAATTTAAGACAGACTAAGCATGTCTAATTTGAAACCAGTATTGCCTCAAAATCTGAAGCTTTTATTTTGAACTTTAAAATTTTTAGATTTAAGATGTCCAGCCAGTAAAGTCTATGCAAATATTACAGAACCCATAAAGCTCTGAAATCTGAAATACTTCTGCTCCTAAGCATTTCAAATGAGAGATGCTCAGCCTGTCATAAAAATTTTGAATGCTAAGGTTTTCCAGGGATTTTGGGTTTGTTTGTTGTTGCTGTTTGGTAATTTTAATATTTAGTGAAATAAATATGACCTGTTATTCTAAAAGTTGAACATTTAGCTTTCAGATATCAGACAGAAAATAGTTACACTGTAATAAACTACATAAGTTCAAATAAAACAAACATTGTCAATTTGTGAAAGTTCATTTTTATTAGCAACAATTCAGTTTTTCAACAAAGAAAAGTACATTTTCCAGAAGGTGGCGCTCAAAGAACACTATTTTGGTTTTTTAGAATTAGGCATACACTACTACTCGTCTGTACTAGATGACTTACACATTTCCAAATTATGGCCCCTTTGTCAGTGCTTGTGTGTGTGTGTGTGTGTGTGTGTGTGTGTTTTCAAGGCAAAGTATAAAAACTTCTAGGAAGTATAATAAAATGCCTTTAAAAAATTGTGCTTTAGAGATCAGTTGATCTAACTGTAAGACATATCATACATGTCTGTTTTATTGAGAAAACGGGTATTAATGATTTTTTTGTTATTTGCTAAATTATTGTGTTTCTAAGTTACATCATCATAATTCAAAGCAAAACAGAAAATTATATCTTTTTAGCCATATTCCAAATATTAGCAAAAGTCAGGTGTGGTGGTGCACGTGTAATCCCAGGAAGGTGGGAGTTGGGTGCTCAGGGGAGTTCTAGGTTGACTACATAGCAAGTTTGAGGCCAGGCTGGACTAGGAGAGACCCTGTCTCAAACACAAACGAAAATAAAACAGAACAACAACAACAACAACAACAATAAACAAAGGCAAAGAAGAAACAAATGCACATTACCAAAACCACATTTTAGAGATTCTTGAAAGAGAAAGAAGTCCTGGTTTATTATCATTTTTTTTGGTGGTACTGGGAATTGAACCCAGGACCTTGTGCAGGTTAGATGAATGTTTTACCACTGAGACCCATTTCCATACCTAGAATAAAATTCTTACACGAAAAGATTCACAAATAACATTTTTGGTTTGTCTTTCAGTTGTGGCTGAGCATCAAAAATAAATAACTAGTTAATATTAAAATTCAATGTTTGTCTTTAGAGCACCATTTTCCTGTTTTAATGTCATGTAAGCTTCCTAGAATGCCCTATTATATTAATAGATATCTGCTGTTGTTCCCATGAGGTTTGTCACTTAGTCAGACTGAAATAATTTATGTTTTAGAACCTTCTTTCCCTCAAACATTTTAAGCTTATTTTGGAAAAAACTCCAACTTAGCAATGGTGATCACCGAGTATGTAAATAAAAAGACTAAAAATTGGCTTGGATTAAATCAATCATGTACTTAAAAAAAATGGAGAGGAAGGTGTGGGAGATGGCTCTGTAAAGTATTTGCTATTCAAGTATAAGAACCTGAGTTTGAGCCTCAGCACCGCATAAAAAATTAGATGTGGTGGTGCACGCTTGTAATACCAGTGCTGGGGAGGCAAAGATAAGTTGATCCCTGGAGTTCACTAGCCAGCTAGCTGACCAAATTGGTGAGTATCATATCCCAGTGAGAGACCCTGTTTCAAAAATCAAGATGGACAGCTTCTGAGGAATGATACCTGAGGTTGATCTCTGTGCTCTTCACATGGGCACACATGTGTACCTACACACACAAATATGCACACCCCCCCCACACACACAGGAAAAAAAGGAAAGCGGTTTTATTTAAATTATATCAAGATCATATTTTTATATGTATTTAAGATTTTTTAAAAAACCCAGTGGTTAGTTTGTAGGTATTTTGAGAAATCAATAATCTCTACTTTTTAGAAAGTGTGACTTCTTAAGATTAGCTTTTCATTATAATTCTCACTTTGAGTCCAGCAGCCTTTTAAAGTCCAGAGCTCTTTTTTAAATGCTTGATTCTGTCTGAATCACTTTGAAGCAAACAGCCTACAGTGACACTTTCATGTGGTAGAACTTTCAGAATTCCAAGTCTTAGAGATAAACAGTCTTGGTCTCTAGAAAGTCGAGGAGAGCATATCTTGAACTTAAAGGCCCGTCTGCAAGCAGAGGTTGTCCTAGTTTGTTTCTCCATTGCTGTGATAAAACACTCTGACCACAACCAACTTGGGGAGGAAAGGGTTTATTTAGCTTACATCTCCCAGGTCACAGTTCATCAGGAAGCCCAAGGTAGGAACTCAGGGCAGGAACCTGGAGGCAAGAGCTGGAGCACAAGATAGGAACTCAGGGCAGGAACCTGGAGGCAAGAGCTGAAGCACAGGCTGCTTACCGGCTTGCTCCCCTGGCCCCTGCTCAGTTTGCTTTCTTAGACAACCCAGGTCCACCTTCCCAGGGATGGTACCACCCACAGCGGGCTGGGCCCACCCACTCAACAATCAAGAAGATGCCCCATGGATATGGCCACAGGCCAGTCCAATGAAGGCAATTCTCCAATTGAGGCTCCCTCAACCTGGGTGTGTCAAGTTGACACTAAAGCTATCCAGCACAATTGACCCCTTGTCAACTTGACATGCAGACACATCATTATTAAACCATAATCTTTCCAATTCTTGTCCCCAAGATACGATGTTAACATTAATATCACAACATAAGGCAGTACAACCTTAAAAACCCCACAGTCCTTAAAAAATCCAAACACTTAAAAGTCCATGGTCTCTTTTAAAAATCTCTTAACTGTGGGTGGGCTTCTGTAAGATCCAAAACAAGTACTGTCTTAATTCAAAGGGAAGAATCAGGCACACCTAAGCAAAACCAAAGTCCAGCAAAGTAGCTCAAGGCTGGACATCTGGGATTCACTCACGATCTTCTGGGCTCCAAAGGGTTCTGGCAGCTCTACTTCTCTGACCCTACTGTCTACAGTACACACAGCTGGTCTTGCAGACCCAGGCCAGGTCTATTCAACACCTACTTCTGTCCTTGGTAGTTGTCCCATGGTCCCAGCATCTCCAAAAAGCTGGGGACTCCACTGACACTGAGGCTATACCTTCACCAATGGCCTCCTCTTGCCTCTTGGGGTGCAAAGCCTCAGATTCTCTCCATGACCCCTTCAATCCTGGGGTCTTCACTGCATCTGAAGCTGTACTTTCACCTATGGCCTTTCCTGCTCTCTGTGACCCCTTCATGCTTTCAACACCAGAACCATGCAGGAGACTCTTACACATTACCAAGTCCTGCTTCCAGCTTGAGATAGAGGGTCCCCTCTGTATGCTGACCCTGAGGAAATACCTCCCAGAAGACTTCACCACAGTGATGTTGGTCTCTTGTTACTTACAGCTGATTTTTCAGCCCCAGCTAACCAGCATCAGTAAAGCAAAGGTTTTACTTCAGGTTCTGGTCTCTTCTTAATCACAGCTGATTCTTCAGCCCCAGCTGACCAGAACCCACAGATTCTCAATTCAAAATATCACACAAACAGCCTTGGTAGTCTCTGCTTCCCTTTGAAACATCACAAGCCAGGCCTCCATTGTTCACAACTCTTTCAGCATAACCTTTCCAAGCTCCACAGCAAAAAACTCTAAGCACTCAATGGCTTTTCCAGCCCAAAGTTCCAAACACTTCCACAGTCCTCCCCAAAACAACTGGGTCAGGTCTGTCACAGCAGTACCCGGCTCCTGGTACCAATTTCTGTCCTAGTTTGTTTCTTCATTGCTGTGACAAAACACTCTGACCACTACCAACTTGGGGAGGGAAGGGTTTGTTTATCTCACACCTCCTGGGTCACAGTTCATCAGGGAGCCCAAGGTAGGAACTCAGGGCAGAAATCTGGAGGCAGGAGCTGGAGCACAGGCCATGGAGGAACTCGGCTTACTGACTTGCTCCCCAGCCCCTGCTCAGCCTGCTTTCTTAAGCAACACAGGCCCACCTTCCCAGGGGTGGCACCACCCATGGTGGGCTGGGCCCTCCCACATCACTCAGTAATCAAGAAGATGCTCCACAGACATGGCCACAGGCCAGTGAAGGCAATTCCCCAGTTGAGGCTCCCTCAACCCAGGTGTGTCAAGTTGACACTAAAGTTATCCAGCACAGAGGTAAAACGTACATATAGGCATGGTTGTTTAGAATATCTTTCTAGAAAACCCCCACAGTCAAGCACTTACTTTCTTTTCTATAATTATAACATATAGAACTTGTGTTAGTTTAGTATTGTTAATAAAAATATTGAAAATAGTAATTATAATGATGGCAGGCTCGTTTGTGTACTTTTCCTCAAATAAAAGACCAAAGGATGTATCTCATGCTACTGTTTACCCTACCCTTCTTGTGACTTCAGAAAGCATGTTCTTTCTCCCTAATCTTCCCTCATACCCCTTTTTCTGTCTCCTGCCATGCTTTCCAACTTACAAATAGAATACTATGGCTGGAGGACAGGGTCAGCGTGGCTTTTGCATGACTGAAAAAAAACTCAGTTGCCCTAGAAGATTCAAGACAGATTTTTTAAAGATAAATACTCATCTCAAAATTCCCATGATCTTTATCCTACTAAAATGTACACACTCAAGTATAATATGGGCAGAAATAAAGCCAATCACTAATGTTTTGGATTGAGTGTTGTTTCCTTTTTATTTTTAGAATAAACATGTTCTTGTGGTTGTGATTATTGAGAGAATGCTGGAGAGGCTGAAAAAATCAAATGAACTTTTGGAACTCATTCTTAAAGGGCTTAATGAATATTTGGAAAAGAAGCGTCTCTTCTTCCCCAGGTTTTTTTTCTTGTCAAATGATGAACTTCTTGAGATATTATCTGAGACTAAAGATCCCACTAGGTAAGCAACTTCTATACTAAGATGCATAAATAAATTTATCTGTTTAAATGTAAATTTCTAGAATAAGACACAACATAGATAAATATAGACAGTCGTGTTGGTATAAACTTCCTTCAAGAATATTATAAATATTTTAATTTAAAAATTTTGAGAATAAACATGTTCTGAAGGTTGTAAGGGGTGAGAGAATGCTGGGTTGGAGAGGCTGATCAACCTTCTTGCTCACTCTGCCGTCCTTTGCTGGCCTCCTTCACTTAATTCACCTAAAATGGGCAGCCTCTTCCCTCATGTGCCCTTACACCCATGTCCAGATTTCATCCTCTGCCTCCTGAACATTTCTGTAGACGGCTGCTCAGATATTTACCACTCAGGGAGTCTTTCCTGACCACTCTGTTTAAAATGGCAGTATGTCTTATGACACCCAGCATGTTCTGGTCACTTTAACTGGACTTACCTTTCCTCTTTGGTGTTCCTTCTGCTTCCTTGTGATCACCAGACATAGACTATAATTTACTTATCTTTTGCTTGTTTCCTGAGCAGAATGTAAGCTCCGTGGTGGCAGAAATTTTGGAATGGTATTTTCTACTTCACATTCCCCAGTCCTTAACAGAGTGTCTAGTACAAAGTAGGCAGTGAATAAATGCCTTTTAAAAGCATTTATTATTTTTATTTTATATATACGAGTGTATTGCCTGAATGTATGTAAGTGCACCCATCTTATGGTGTTGCGAAAAGCCCTTGGAGGTCAGATCCCCTGGTGTTGAATCCCCTGGAACTAGAGTTACGGTGATTATTGGCCACCATGTGGGTGCTGAGAATCAAATCCAGGTCTTCTGTGAGAGCAGCCAGTGCTCTTAACTGCTGAGCCATCTCTTCAGCCCTGAAAATTGTTTTTCATCAGACATTTGTTTATTTTATATCTTCTACCTACAAAGAAAGAGCCACATAGTCTAGACACACAAGAATAAATTTTGACTTATTTTTCATCTGAGCTTTATTCTTTGCTTCTTTTTGTTCATTTAAAAGATGAATATAAGTAATAATGTGCCAAAAATGAGGTATTAGCCACTGTCTATATTATATTGACTAGAATAACAGTTGGGTATGCCAAACCAGTTGATTTACTAAATTGTGAAGTACTTAAATGTCTGAAGAATCCACTGGAAATGGTTATATGATTGGCCTAGTGCACTTTAAGATCCTTTAGATTTGTGCAATTAGCTGCCAGCTAAAATTGTTTGTTCATTACATTACTTTTAGCAACTTTCAAATCAGTGCATTGAAAACAAAGTCTCATGGATGCCCTTCACAGGTCTTATTATAATTGTAATTTTATAGATCACTTTAAGATTGTTCCATTGATACTGGATTATCCCTGAATTGCATAATCCATGCAGGTAGAGATCGTAACATCTTTGCATTGCTACTATTGGCTTTTTTCTGTATTTCATCTCCATCAGCACCTAGCAGAGGCCTAACACTTAGTATACCTTTGTGAATTTTAAATGTTCATTGGCATACAAAGCACCCAGGCATGCTAGGAATTGCATTACTTTAATTAATTCTTTAATTTTTTTTCCTGACAGAGTTCAACCTCATTTGAAGAAATGTTTTGAAGGAATTGCAAAGGTAGAATTTACAGAAACTTTAGACATTACACATATGAAGAGCAGTGAAGGAGAAGTTGTGGAACTCATAGAGACCATTTCAACAGCCAGAGCCAGAGGTCAAGTGGAGAAGTGGTTGGTTGAGTTAGAGAGAATTATGATTAACTCCATCCATAAGGTAACTGGTTATATTCATTATCCTTTGAAAAAATAATAGATATTAATGTTGTTAAAATGCATCATGGATATGTGGATTGCTATTTAGGCAGAGACTGAGGCATGTATTACAATTCCAAGTTTAATAAATGCTACTTCTTGTTGTGATGAAATACCTGACCAAAGAAACTTGAAGAAGGAAGGGTTGTCTGTCTGTTTGCCTTACAGTTTGAAAGGAGAGAGCCTATCACATCCTGGAAGACAGACAGAGAAAGAGAGAGAGAGAGACAGAAAGAGAGAGAATGAATGTTGATGCTCAGCTCACTCTCTTTTCATTCAGTTGATATCCTAGCCCTTGGACAATGCTGCCCACATTTAGGAGGGTCTTCCCTCCCCAGTTACACCTCTCTGGAGACACCTTCACAGACTGGATTTTAGATCTAGTTAACTTAACCATCATGGATAACATAAGGCAAAGAACAGATCTGTGGTAGCTTTGTAATGACTCACATAAGGTGGAGTCGGTATCACTACCCCACCAGCAAACGTAGCTTGTCATAATGTACCTACCTCATTTCCTGCAGCCCTATGCTGGTGCTTTCATTAGGGATTAGACACTTTTTGTTCATGTCATCTGTTTTAGTCCTGCCTGAAGCACCTCTATATAGTTCACATCTGTCTCCTTGATGAATAAAAGTCTTACTGTTCTCTCTCTCTCTCTCTCTCTCTCTCTCTCTCTCTCTCTCTCTCTCTCTCTTCCCTCACAGCTGGGGTTATAGGTGTGTGTGTGTGTGTGTGTGTGTGTGTGTGTAACACCTTCCAGGATTTAGGAAAACAGATATACTTTCTTCTAACTACAGCAACCTCATATTTTCCACATCTCATAGAACATGGTTAACATGATAATTTGTAATTATTTTTTCAGTAGAGAATTTCAAATTATACCAATAAGCAGAAATTGAGGACTTAAAGTCATTTTTTGCTGCATTGTGGGCTTAGTATTCAAGTTTCTAGTAGAGAAGAAAAAACATGAGCATGGAGTATGTTTAATGTTTAAATTAATTTTTCACATTCTTCCACACACTATTGGAGAATTCAAATCTAGATGTTTAATGTTGCTGTGTGTTACAATATATTTAATCCTAAATATAGTTTCCAGAAAATATACCTTAAAATCTTTTAGGAGTTTCCTATTTCCCCTTCTTCCTGTTAGGTTACAGTGAATGAACTTTTACATAAAGCTGGTTTTATTGATTGAATTATTTTTTTCATGTGATAACTTTTAATGTGTATGGTCACCAGGACAAAGAAGATTAGTTTTCCTTAGAAACTATTGATAAATATTGACACATAACATGATTACTTTTATGGCCATTGGCAATGTAGATGAATTCCACTTTGACTTCTGTTTAGCAGCATTGGGTTATATAGTTTGTTAATTGAGGAGCTGCACATACATAATGCATTATGGTGGGCATATCTATTACTATTCCCGCTGCCCTTTTAATTTGTCAGAGTACTTAGAGAAAGTAATTTGGTCATTACTTTAGCACATTAAAATTTGGAGGCAAGAAATCATGTAGAAAATAGGTATCTTTCCAAAATTTCCTGTGTAAGTTTTCGTTAGTAAAATATATAAGCAATTGTGATATAAAATACAACAAATAGGAGATGCATGTGTTATTTTTATCTGTGTGCTTGAGTAGATGTTGCATTCATGAGTATGACAGATGTTACATTGACTGCTGTAGAACTTTATATAAGCACATTTCTCCATCAAACTATGGAGAATCCCTTCGGCGGCACAGATTTCAGTGCCTTCCTCTTGTTCTCCCCACTGTGTCCTAGAGCACAGGTACTCCATCTTGGCACATCTCCGCTGTGCCTTTCTATTCTTTTATTTCTTCTGTTCTCTAGTTGTCTACTTTCATCTGGCCTGTCTGCAGCTTCTTTTGGTTTTTTAAAAAAATGCCTTACTATGGCTTTTTATCTCTGTTCAGTTCTACAAATCTCCAGCTAGACTAGAAATTTAGAAAGTTTTAACTATTCTTAGATGTTTCTCTGAAAACTCTAATTTTGACAGTCTCTTCTGAAATTCAAACTCTAAAGTCAGTATCGCTTCCCAGAGGACATTGTTATTTTGGTTGATACGATGACAGACTAGAGTGTTTCTCACTGATGATATTGTACAGAAAAAGATATATCAGCCCACTAAAAAATGTAACAAACAATATAAGGTAGATTTTGTGGCTTTGTAGGCTTCATCTCCCATGAAATGACTGTCTGTCTCTCCCTGTCATCTTTGCCTTGGGTACCAGACCTAATGACTGAGAAGGTCCCCTCTCAGTCTGGTACACAGGAGGCAGGATAGAGGATTGTATGGTTTGTCTGCATGTGTGTGTATGTGAGATTGAGTGGTGATCTGATTTAAATAAAAGACTGTGCACAATAAAGTTGCTGGCTCTCACTTTGGAATGATTTGAATTTATACTTTGCACCAAAATTGTTCATGTTTTATCAACCCAAATGTGTCTATGATATTTTTTGGCTAAAACTGATCAGATAATCATTTGATATAATGTAGTTCATGCAAATTGATAATGTGTTAACCAAATAATATAGAATATTATTTGCTCTCATGTGAATAGCTTTGCAGTATTTCAGTCATCGGCTTTATGTGGGTCTTCATAACTGGATGAGGATGTTATAGAAAGTTAAAGGGTGTCAGCCAGCTTAGTTTAGCTCTCATTATTTTAGCTTGTTCTAGAATATTCATCTTTACCACTTTTTTTTGTAAATTAGGTGATTAGAGATGCAATTGCTGCTTATACAAAAAATGAAAGAATTAATTGGGTAAGAGATTGGCCTGGACAGACTGTTCTCTGTGTATCTCAAACCTTTTGGACATCAGAAGTTCAAACTGCTATACCAAAGGGGTTAAAGGTAAGCTTTCATTACCCTTATTTTTCAGCATTTAAAAAAATGGTTATGATACCCAGAATATACTTATCCTAAAATATCAAATGAAGATAGTTCATTTAAAAATTTACTTTCCGTTGCAAAGCTAAATTATAGATTGTTAAAATGAAATTTTTATATAAAATATATAAAAAATATATAAATATTCAAAATTTATATCAAAATTATAACAAAATTTATATTTGTTTATGCAGATTATGTAAAAGTCAAGGGTCTTGGATTCTCAATCTTGTTTTGTATATTATTTTTGCCTTTACAAATAGAATGATACTAGGACTAAGGCATTTCCTAAGCTCAGAGACATTGGGAGGGTATAGAGTAATATTATACTCTCTTGTGCCTTGAGTAAAACTCTATATAGACAAAGAATCAGTTAACTTATTTTGACTATTTTAAATTTTAAAATATTGATTTTGAATAAATAAATGTTTGAATGCTGATTAATCCTAAGTATTCTAAGTATTTGGACACATAGACTTAACATTATTACTTGGCTAGCTGCTATTGATTTAAGAAGATAAAATTATACAATACAATTATAACACTTTTATCATTGAAATAGGAGTCCACATGAGTCAACTGGAACCTCAGAGTTACAGATCTTTAGTTTACAGCCATGAGTTTCAAATATATTCTTGATTAGGAATTTGATTGTGACTTTAAGGTACTGTTGAACACTAGTAGGTGTTGGAGTTTGAGAAGGCTGCTTGTCTTCTTCAGAAGAGGAAGTAATAATTAAAAAGAAAACAGTTCAAAGAAGTGTTTCATAGAAAAGAAAAAAGAATCCTTCTATCTGAACTTGGGTTTGTTAACTGTTCATCATAAACTCTCTTCCATTTTAAATTTCCTCATCCAGAAGAGAGATGCCAAAGCAAGACTGTTCCTCAAAGCTTGCCTCAACTCAAGATAAACTAAACCACTAGTTGTTATGGTTGTGTTTGCTATTAGTAGTAATTATTATTTATTTGCTTCTTTTTATTGCTATAACAAAATACCAAAGACTGGATACTTCATACAGAAAATAAGTTTACTTTTGGGGGAGGGCTGCAAGTCCAAGATTGGGAAGTCCTATCTGATTTTGGCTTTTGGTAAGGGTCATTTGGTTATATGGTGAGTGACAACATGTCCAGAGTATGTGCAAGAAAAAGAGATTGCGTAGTGACTAGATATTTCCTCCTTGAGCTGTTTTCTTTGTAATTATTACTTTTGAGAAAGACTTTTATTCAAATGTTTGGGGGCTTAAATAGCATTCCATTTCTATGATTTACATGATTGTTTTTCTGGGATTTTTGTTTCTTAAGTAATTATGAACTAGCTTTTGTTGCACCTGTGTTTAACCGCCTACGTGTTTAAATTCTTGGGGCCAATTAGTGAATTTCACTATATTCAGTATATAGATTAGTAAGGGCAGTTTTGATCTTAGGATAAAAATTATCAGTTGTCTGGGCTGGAGAGATGGCTCAGTAGGTAAGAGTACTGACTGCTCTTGCAGAGGATCCAGGTTCGATTCCCAGCACCCACATGGCAGCTACTAACCGTCCTTAACTCCAGTTCCAGGGGAATCCGAAGCCCTCTTCTGACCTCAGTACCATTGCATGACACAGGTGCACTCACATATATGCAGGCAATACACTCATACACATAAAATAAGAATAATAAATAAAATATTTTTAAAAATTATCAGTTGTCAATGGATGCATCTTGATGTGGTCATCAGAAAAATTCAGTACAGTTGACGTTTCAGAAAAACAACAGAGATCCAAGTCTCCTTTAAATAACAACCTGTTCTGGCTTTCTATTACTATGACAAAATGCCTGGGATAATCATCTTAGAGGAAGGCAGATTTATTTTGGCTCATGGAGAGAAAAAGAGAGAGAGACAAGAAGAGAGAGAGAGAGAGGAAGAAAAGAGAGGAGGGGAGGAAAAAGAAGAGGAGGAAGAAGATGAGGAGGGGAGGAGGGCAAGGAGGAGGGGGCAAGGGCTGTCAGAACACACTCTACTGATCTACTTCCTTCAATGAGGCCACAGCTGCTAAACCTTCTAGAACCTTCCAGTAATGCCATCACCTAGCAACCAAGCACTTTAGGGAACAGTTCATATTCAAACCATAATACAACCCATTCTCTTGAGAATTGATTTAGTTCCTCAACCTGCTTAATCACTTCTGAGGGCAGTGCTCAGGACCTGGTTGCATTCCATTAGGCCTCATTTCTTAGAGGTTCCATCACCTTGACACTGCCACCCTGCAGGTCAAGCCTCCTCTAGCACATGAACCTTTGAGGGTCACACGCATACCACATCAGTATTTCAAGTGCTACAAACCTCATTCAGGCTGATGTAAGAACACTAGAAGGGCCGTAGGATCAAAGAGGAAGGAGGTGGAGGGTCTCAGGGTTTCATCCCTTCTCCAGGTTCCCCTGTCTCTCAACCACTAGTCTCCAATAGGCTTCTTTCTGCTGAGAGGGTAGTTTTCAGTAGCTTTAGATTCACATATTCACAGTCTGAGCCTAGAGAAAGGGCTTTCTCTTTCAGTTCCTGGGAAGAGCTGTAATTGGCTCTGACTGGGTCTCCTCCCTCCTTCATGTTCTCATAGAGGTGGGCAGTTTGATTGACAGCTCCAATATGACCACAGTGACTAGAGAAGGGCTAGAAATAGAAGAAAGGACACTGACACAAATCACATATGCTCGTCCTGTCTTGCCAGAATGGGCTTGTTTACCTAGCATCTTTGTAGTAGGGAAAACAGATTAATTTTTAAATAGCATAGAAAATGATGATAAAAATACAGAGAACTTACCATGTGTGTTTATACATACTTGTTCACAATATTGTTCACAATGATTCTGATCACATTGGGAAATTGCATCTTACTGTGTTTCAGGCTCTTGAGGAATACTTGGACCAATGTAACAATCAAATTGATGATATTGTCACTTTGGTGCGTGGCAAACTGTCCAAGCAGAACCGTGTCACTCTGGGAGCCCTTGTGGTCTTGGATGTACATGCTAGAGATGTTCTTGCAAGTCTTGTGAGAAAGGACATTAGTGACGACTCCGACTTTGAATGGTTAAGTCAGCTTAGGTACTATTGGCAAGTAAGTAATGTCACTGACTGTTAACTACACAGCAATTTCAGCTCATGACTTTTTAATTCGTGCTTGCTCACATGTGGAATAGGAGCAGCAATACAGGACATTTTTCTGATGACTGTCTTATAACTATGTATATTTTTCCAGATTGAAAATTAAGGCAGCTAATAGCTATACCTATTACGGTCAATATCTGTATTTAAACATCCTTATTTGTATCCAAATATATTATTACACATTAACATACATGTACATGTAATGATAAACAAAAATGACCAGAAATCATTTATTCTTCAACACATAATTATGCTTGTGACTTGCAAAATGCTGGGCTCGATAAACTTAATATTGTATTTTTGATTCCTAATGCATCAAAATGATGTATAAATCAAATTCTTCAGGTCTGACTTACTCATTAAATTTTGTATTGATCAATAAAAAAAAATAGAAACCTGATCTGTAAGGAAGGATTTTTATCAGGTCTTGGATGTCAGTCACAAGGAGGATGTTAATCATGACTGGGAGGAATAATTATTAGAGTGGACAAGACTGATCTGATGAGGTAGGGAGAGATATGGGCCCAGCAGTTCTAATAGGCTTTTGTAGAAGTCCTGCGAGGTGTGGGCAGCAGGAGGAGAGGAAGGAAGCCAGGATATCTGGTGGTAGGAACTGGACTGATAGAATCTTATTTTTTTTAATGCCAGATCCTCCCCCTTTCTTGCATTATAACCTTGGGCAAGTTTCCTAATTTCTGTAACTAATGGGGCCCTCATCTACAGAATAGTGATAGTTTTAATACCTACCCACTCCATATTGGAAAAAAAGATTGATAATACAAGTGAGATATGGAGCAAGTTTCAAAACATTCTTTGGAGAAAATGGAAGCCATTGACTTCAGGTATTTATCCAGAAAACTAGCTGTTGAATTCTTACAGTGAATGCACTGATGCCTGAAAAGTGAGTTTAAAGACATCTATGCTATAGTAATGACTTATTTATATTTTACTAGGAAAATCATTTAGAAACAAAGATGATCAGTGCTGGTTTGCGATACGGCTATGAATATCTGGGCAATTCCCCTAGACTGGTTATAACACCACTCACGGATCGATGCTACAGGTAAATCTTCAATTTAAAGATGTATTGAAAATCTCCCACACACCCCTCTAAGCCACTAATTCAGTTAAAAATACTGAATTATTTTACCTTCTGTGCTGTAGGCTTATCCTGTGTTCTTTTTCTCCCTAGCACCTTAAGTCTTCTCTCAACTCCATTTTCTTTAGTGGTTTCTTCCTTTCCTCTCTGGGGCTCTGGGTGTTCTTAGGCGTGGCTGCCGTTGGGACATCCCTCTCTTCTTCCTGCCTTATTGAAACTCCCGGGCTTCTTTTCAGATCATTTGAGCTGTATTTTTCCTTTCCCCGAGACACTAATTTTCTAGAGTTCTGATTCCATACTGCATGGTTTCCTGAATCCACTCTCTGACTTTTGTGGCCTGTGTCCCAAAGATTCAAATTCTGGACCTCCCTCCTTCAATTCTTTGTTGTCTGTACACCTACTGAGGTTCTCTGTGGAGATCTCATAGGTATTTGTGTTTTATTCCAGGAGAAAATTCATCATTTTATGTGCTAAATTAACTTTGCCTCTCTCTCTGCACTTCAGAAGATGGCAATGAACAGTCCTCAACTTAGTCACCCTTGGAAGTATCTAGCTTTGGCCTTGACTCTTTCTCAAGTCTTCCCATCTATTCACACACTAAGTCCTACTGATTTAATTGATTAACTTGTATTTTTTTTCTGCTGTTTATTTTTTTTCTTTTAAAAAATGAACTTTTTGGCAGTTTTAGATTTACAGTAAAATTATGCAGATGGTCTAGGGAATTCCTAAGGAGCCTCCCCCCCCCCCCCGTTTCTCCTGTTATGAGCATCTTGCTTTAGAATGTTGTGTTTGTTATAATGGATGAACCATTATTATTAGCTAAAGTGAAAAGTTTATATTAGAAAGCATTGTAGTGTGTAATGTTATGGGTTTTGACCAATGCATACAGTTTTGTGTCCACCATTATAGCTCATGTTCCACCCATTTGTCTCCCACATGTGACCTCCCCTCCTCTTGAATCCAGGCAGTCACCTGTTATTTTTGCCACTATGGCTTTGTCTATTCTCAGGTATCCTGTTCTTGGACTCTGCAGTCTTTCTTCACTTAACAATAGACATTTAAGATTTCTCCATGTCTTTTTGTAGCCCATGACACATTTCTTTTTATCTCTAAATGCTATTCGGTTGTGTGGATGGATGTACCACAGGTTATCCGTTTACCTATTAAAGGACATTTTTCTTGCTCCCAGGTTTTGGTGATCATGAATAAAGCTACTACAAATATTTGTATGTGTGATTTTGTGGGGATGCAAGTTTTAGCTCATTAGGGTAAATACCTAGGAGCATGATTCCCGGATCACACAGCAAGCTTGCATCTAGGTTTGTGAGAAATCGCCAGACTATTTTCCAAAGTAGCTGTATTCCCAGAGGCCATGTTGCTCTACATCCTTGGCAGCATTTAGTGTTGTCAGTGTTTAGGATTTTAACCATCTTTTTTTTTTGTGTGTGTGTGTTTTCGAGACAGGGTCTCCCTGTAGACCCAGCTGGACTGGAACTTGCTATGTAGACCAGGCTGGCCTTGAACTCACAGAGATCTACCTGCCTGTGTCTTCAGAGTGCTGGGACTAAAGGTGTGTGTCACCACGCCTGGCTGGGCTACAAGTTTTTTTAAAAAATATTATTTTTATCTTATGTGTATGAGCGTATTGCCTGTATGCATGTAAGTGCACCTGTGTCATGCACTTACAAGTTTTTTATCTGATAAGAATTTTTGTAAATATTTTCCCTCAGCCTATAGCTTGTATTTTCAGTTTCTTAATAGTGTCTTTCAGGGACTTAAAAAAATCTTAATAAAGTTTTATTTTTTTCAATTTTTTTAATGGACTGTAGTTCAATACTGTAATCTAAAAAGTCATTATGAAAACTAAAGTCATGAAGATTTTTCTCCTATATTATCTTCCAGAAGTTGTACAGATTTTATTCTACATTTAAATCTGTGCTCCACTTTAAAATACATTTTAATCTAGATTATTTTTTCTACATGTGGAAATGTAATTGTTACAGATAATTTGGTCGAAAGAATATCCTTTTGCCATTGGATTGTCTTTGCTCATTAGCCAAGGATCCAAAACTATTTTTTTAACTGTATTTATTATTTTTATTTTTGTGTAAGCGTGTATTGCCTGCATGTAAGTAAGTGCACCTGTGTCGTGCAATGCTCACTGAGGTCAGAAGAGGCTGTCAGATCCCCTGGGACTGGAGTTACAGACAGTTGTTAGCTGCCATGTGGGTGCTAGGATTCAAACTTGGGTCTTCAGCAAGAACAACCAGTGTTCTTAACCGCTTAGCCATCCCTTCAGCCCCTGGAACTATTTTTAAAATGTTTCCTAACCATGTGGTAGTGGTTTGGAGCCTACATTTTTCTTCTCTCTAGAACTTCAGAAGAACTAATATCAATGAAAAAGTAAAGTCTCTTTATAAATGGCTGATCAAGTATCTGATCCTCCTTTCAAAGCTCTTAGGTACAACCTGGGTTGAGGGCTGTATCTAGTCTGAGCATGACTAGTTAAAGCTAAGCAGAATTTGATTATGAGTGAAGAGCTGTACCCAAGAGAGGAAGTGAGTCCACCTATGAGGAACGAGGGCCGCACAGTTACTTACCCAGTGCTGAGACAGGGTCATGTAAGTGTAATCCAGGTAGAAAGAAAAATTCAAAGTTTGGTTAAAAATTCCTTCCCTTTTTGTAGCTGACATATCCAGCATGAAAGTCTTGGAAGAGTCTGTCCAGCACAATGTTCTCTTTGGCTCAGATATCACCACTATATTGTGGTGTTTCTATGCAAATCCACATCACAGCAATGCTTGAATAAAGACAGCCTGACTCTTAGCATCCATTATTTCGGCCAAGAGGGACCCAAACTCTTCTGAGAACGTCTTCCTTTAGAAAATTCTCGGCACTGTGCTCTCAAACAAGCTCTTGCTCTTTGTTTTATTGAAGAAATGAAGAAGTGAAAGTCAGACTTATCAGAGGATTTTGTCCCTTCTGACTTCTACTAACCTAGGATAACGCAAATGAAACCACAAATAGACATTATCAATTTAAATTGTTTGCAACACAAATATGTTGTGTCCAATGAGTATCTGCTGCTTGTAGCACTTAATATGTAAAACACACCACACCACACCACACACACACACACACACACACACACACACACACACACACTTTATTATGTTTTTCTGGGTCAAGGGCAAGGAAGGGTCATGAGGGATTAAAGCTATGTTTGGATTACAAGGAGAGCTCAAGGATCAGTGAATTTATCTGCATTATAAACAAGTTACTATAAGATCAACTCTTTAGTTGGAAGTTTAAATAAAAGTCATTTGTCCAGAAATGTCTACATTTCTACACTGTAGTAGCTACTTATGTGTCTTCGCAGTTTATGGTGTTCAAAAGCACATGTGGGCTAGTAAGAGCTGCACTGATGTCCTTACCCCAGTGTAAGCAAACCCTTCCTTTATACATACCACTTTATTTCTTGACTTCGTACTTCTGCACATACTGACTTATCATCCAGGAAAGTTTTGCTTCCTCCTTTTTGTTTCTCAGTAAATCTGACTGACTCCTGCTTGAAAGGACATCATTGCCTTTCATCGGCAGACTTCCTAGACATCTCTGCCTACACTGATAGTTTCTCCTCAATGGCTCTTAACATTTTCCTCTGTCATGATGGGTCGAAAGCATTCTTGATATATTTTATTAAAAAACTTTTAATACCATTTTAATTAAGTTTTTGTTGAATTTTTTTCAAATATCATACAATATATTTTGATCACATTTAAACCCCTTCTCTACCTACATCTCCCCTTTTTAACCCCACCTGGCTTCATCTTTCTCTCTCTCTCTCCCTCTCTCTCTCTCTCTCTCTCTCTCTCTCTCTCTCTGTTATTTTTCTCTGAACCCAACACAAACACATTCTCTGGCATAAAGGAGGCGTTTAATGAAATGTTCTGAATACCCATACACTGAACAGACGTTTTAAATTATGTTCCTAGAGAATAATCAGAATTATGAACATTATGACTTCTCACATGTTTTACGAAAAAAGATGATAACTTCAGGTAGAGGATAAAGCTTAATATCTGGTTCTTCTACATAGGTCTGGGAAGAGTATTATTTACAGAACATGAAATAAGTGAATTGTGGTGAGTGGGTCAGGATTAAGGCCAAGAAAATGCAGTAATACCACACTTTGTTTTGTGCCAGTGACACAGTATAAGGGTAGCCCTAGGCACTTGAAGTGCTATACTCCATTTGACACAAAGGCTGTTGCTTATGATGGAGCACTGTATCTATAAAGACTTTAGACACATTAAAATATGAGTCCCTTTATATTGAATATATATCTATGTGCACACCATGTAATTGTAAGGGAATTCTTAAATTTCATTTATTCAGCACTTGATGGAGGAAAGATCTGTGTCTTTTCCATTTTCCATTTTAAAAAGTTATAGAGAACTGTATGATATGCTATTTCATCATCTGATAATACTAAGTTTGCAGAACAGAAGATAAATAAAAAGACATGCTATTTTAGCTTCATAAAATAAAAAAGTGTCTCTACTCATATATTTTCTATGAGATTGGAAAATTAGATTAGAAAACATTTGCAATGGTGTGTAGTAAGTGAGTTAGTAGAGGTAAGCGTTAGGTGCTCTAGGTATATGCATCTCAGATGGAGCAGAGTTCATGGGGAATCTTTGAGACTCAGAGTGCTAGTGGAAGGTCTGAATGGTGATCTTATATTAAAAGTAAGTGAATTTCAAATGAAAAGGTGAAGGAGCTTTGTGTTGCTTCATGAGTGAGTGTAGTCCACTTCTATTTAGTATGATTAGTGAACTGTTTGGACTCATTTAAATAATCCTATTGTATGTTTTAAATTTCTTAAGCCTTAATTTTTATTTTAATTTACTTATTTTAATTATATTTGTTACAATCAAAAATGATTTTAATTATCTTTATCTCTGTTATAGTTTTTAAAATTTTCTCTTGATTATTGATGTTCACTGTACTCTTACTAGAAGTGAAATTTTTTTATATTACTTGAATTTTTTTCAGCTCATGTCTTCCTTCCATTCTGGAAAGTTCTTGATTGTTGTCATTTAAATTTTGCCTCTTTTCCATTTTCTCCCTTCTTTTATTCTGTGCTTTTGTCTTTTCTTATATCTGATCTCTGATTCTCTAGGTCATTTCCTCATATTAACCTTCCAGCACATAATTGTATTTTTTAAAAATGTTTTATTTATTATTTTTATTTTATGTGTATGCGTGTATTGCCTGCATGTAGGTAAATGCACCCGTGTTGTGCAATGCCTGCAGAGGACAGAAGCAGCTGTCAGATCCCCTGGGACTGGAGTTATGGACAGTTGTTAGCTGCCTTGTGGGTGCTGGGATTCAAACCTGGGTCTTCTGCAAGAACAACCAGTGTTCTTAACCGCTGAGCCATCTCTCCAGCCCATAATTTTATTTTTTATGTTCTGACTTTTAACCTATTAATGAGTTTTCAAAAGTTAAGTGATAATATTTTTTTCTAGAATTTCAAGTTGTCTCTTTTATGAAATTGGCTTCTCTGTTTTTCTTTCTCTCTCTTACACACATGTACACACATGCACACATACACACACACAGACTTGATACAGCTTTTTGGTATTTATTGCTTTTTACTTAAAATCTCACCTAACTGACCACCAGGATACCAAAGAGGTCAGGCTGTCGTATATGTAGTTGTATATGTATACCCTCACAGAGCTCTGTCTGCTTTTGCCACTTTGTTTGACTCAACATTGATCTCCCTCTCCAGTTTTAACTGTGTGCATGGTTTGGTAAGGGCTGCTTCCCCATTACATCTTTGATGATATCAGGTATGGAGGTCACCTTATGGAGTTTCAGATTTACCTCTGAAGAAGGCCATAGAGTTTTCTCTGACCCAGACCCAAAAAAAACCTTAAATTCTTAGTCTGGGTTGTGTGCCATGTGAAATAGAAATCCGAATTCCCATCTCCTGAGGGAAAAGATGTAGGCTTGCCACCTGAACCTCTATAAAAAGGGAGCTTCCCTGTCCCTTCTGTGCTTGAACACCTTATCTCTCCAGTAAGTTGCTGGAGTTAATGTGGCTTCCATTCAGAGACAAATAGAGGCCAAGCAGCATTTCATGTTCTGTAATAGGTATATAGAGATGAGCCTACTCCAGTTCCCCTCCTTGCTCAATTCTGGGAATTTACTTTCTGTTATTTCTGTGCTTCCATAAATACATTTGTGTTTATTTGCAGATCCCAAAACAATATGGATCTCTGCAGATTAGTGCACAGTTGGGTCTCCAGAGCTGAATTTCTTCTTCATTGGTGACCCCTTTCATTATTTAAGCAATGACTTGCACTTTAAAATTATTTTCTTTCATGTGACATTTCCATATGCTTATTGTAATAGGCTGGGGTATTCACAGTGTCACCTGGATTCTCCATATTGTCAGCATTGAATTCCAGAAGGGCATTTGTTCTAAATGTGTCACGTGTGTGTGTGTGTGTGTGTGTGTGTGTGTGTGTGTGTATTAAGCTTAATGGGAAGGAAGAAATTATTGCAGAGGAGCTAGCAGCTTGGATTTCATTTAAACTTTTCTTCCTTTTGTCTTGTTCATTTATAAAATCACTGCATTCTACATAGACTGTCCATGTCTTCTACTTTAGGACCCTATTTGGAGCCCTTCACCTGCACCTTGGAGGAGCACCTGAAGGTCCAGCTGGCACCGGAAAGACAGAAACTACCAAGGACTTAGCAAAAGCTGTAGCCAAACAATGCATTGTTTTCAACTGCTCTGATGGGCTGGATTATTTGGCTTTAGGAAAATTCTTTAAGGTTTGGGTTGACTCTATTTCTTTACAGTAGGAATGGCTGGTAAGAGTTGAAAGGGGTTTATAATGAAACACAATGGAGATTTACTATGTCTTGTAAAGGTAAAAATTATAGCACTGCCTCAACGGTTCTTAAGGAGAGTGGAGTTGTATCAAAACTTGGTCTGGAAGGTCTGCCTCCCCCTCCATTCCCTGCTGTAGTGGGTCACTATTTCCGATGTGAATGAGTGAGTCAGTCCTTTGAATATACTGGGGCAGATGTAAGGTTGAGAACCACTACATAAATGCTGTGGGATTCCAAAGTTTTCTTTAACCTGTATGTCTTGTTATCAGAAAGTTTCCAGGATTCACTAATATCTTAACATTTAAAAAAATTATTTATTTTAATTTTATGTGTATGGGTGCTTTGCGTGTGTGTGTGTGTGTGTGTGTGTGTGTGTGTGTGTGTGTGTGCACCCTTGCATACAGTGCCTACAGAGGCCAGAAGAAGGTGTTGAATCCCTTGGGACTGGAATTATGAATGGTTGTGGACTACCATGTGGATGCTGGGAACTGAACCTGGGTCCTCTGCAAGAGCAGCTAGTACTCCTAACCACAGAGCCATCACTCCAGTCCCATTAATTTACTTTTGTAGACACATCCTAGGTAATCTTTTCATCTGAAATGTATAATTCTTGTTTCATTTTTAAAAAATTATTTTATCATTTTTATTTCTTATGTGTATGAGTATATGGCCTGCATGTATGTAATTACACCTGTGTCATGCAATGCCCACAGAGGTTAGACAAGGGCATTGGATCTCCTGAAACTAGAGTTATGAACAGTTGCTAGCCTCCATGTGGGTGCTGGAATTGAGCCTGTGTCTTCTGGAAGGGCATTCAGTGCTCTTAACCATTGGGCCATCTCTCAAGCCCCCTTGTTTCATCTTTAATGGGTGTGTATATGTGTCCATGTATGTGCCCATGTGCCCATGTGTGCGGGTATGCATACAAGTTTGTGCCAGAGGCCAGAGGTCCACACTGGGGATCCTCCTCACTTGTGCTCCACTTTATGTTTTAGGACAGTGACTCTTACTGGTTTAGAACTTGCCCACTAGGCTGGACTGGCTGTCCAGTGAGTCCTAGGCATCCACCAGTCTCTACCTCCCCATCACTGGGGTCACAAGCATGCGCCATCATGCCCAGCTTTTTTTTTTTTTTTTTTTTTTTTTTTTTTCACATGGGTGTTGGGGATTGAATTCAGGTCCTCATGTTTGTGTGACAAGCACTTTACCAACTGAGCTATCTTCCAGGCCCAAAAGATGCTTTGCCACATGGCTGACTCAAAGCTCCCACATGTTTTATTTTTCCAACTCTGTCAGAGTCTACTTGTAAAGGTCTTAAGAGTGTAAAAAGGTGAGTTAAAGATGCAAAGTGTGGGGGCTGGAGAGATGGCTTAGATGTTAAGAACACTGTTCTTGCAGAACACCTGGGTTCGAGTCCCTGTACCCACATGACAGCTAACAACTGTCCATAACTCCAGTTTCAGGGAATCCAACAGCCTCTTCTCTCCTCTGTGGGCATTGCACGATACGGGTGTACTTGCCTACATGCAGGCAACACATGCACACATAAAATAAAAATAATAAATAAAATATTTTTTAAAAAGATGTAAAGCGCTTGTTTATAAACCACATTAGCAGCTTGGTGTTAGAACCTATAATTTTTAAAAATGCTAAGTGGCACAGTTGATCACAGCACAATCCATTTGAGATTATGGCCATTGTATTTACTTGTTTTTATTTTTCTGTAGTTTTCAAAGTAAATGTATTCTTTAGTATTTACTTTTGTAAATTTTCCTCAGCAAAATAACAATTTAAGAAATTAAACTAGCAACAACAAAAAATACACTAGTTTTACCCAGTACATTCAACTGTTTCCTGACTGAATTTTCCCTGGTCATTTCTCAAATTGGGAGTTTTATAAGGTTTTACAGTTGTGTTGCAAAAACTGAGTAATACTATTTTATTTTATTTATTATTTTTTTATTTTATTTGTATGTATGTATTGCCTGCATGTAGATAGTGCACCTGTGTCATGCAATGTGCGCAAAGAACAAAAGAGATTGTCAGATACCCTGGAACTGGAGTTACAGATAGTTGTTAGCTGCTATATGGGTGCTGGGATTCCAACCTGGGTCTTCTGCAAGAACAGTCAGTGTTCTTAACCACTGAGCCATCTCTTCAGCCCCTGAGTAATATTTTTTAAAGGAAATAAAAATAATAAGGAATAAAATATCAATAAACCATACAAATGATGTATTCACCCTCCGTAATGACATGTAAGCTTTCTATATGACTAAGAGATAAGTAGGAAATTTTAGCAATCCTATATGTAGTTTGAATAATCGTTATATTCCTATGTGTGTAAAGCATGGTCCAGCATCTACCTCCTAGTTTTCGAGTCTGTGTAGTAATATTCTTCGTTCTTTGATTTAGACTGATAGACAACGGAACTGCATTTGCTTATTGATGAGTACTAGTTGATTGTACAGACACTTTCTATGTGCTGTTCAATGCTGAACAGTGGAGCACCTTATAATCAATCAGCGTTTTACAAAAGAAGTTCACAATCTGCATATTTGCATATATGCTGATAAGCATTCTGTTTTCTGTGATTACTGATCCTTTTGTTATATGATCTGTTGGAAAGCAAAGTAATAGGTAGTGGCCTCTCTGAAAATTTACTGGTCTTTGACATGCATCAAGCTCATATTTAATCCAATGTGGCTGAGTAGAATGCAGTGTCTACAAGCCCAAGGGCAGCACTACTATCTTTGTGGCTTTATGCCAATTACTTAGCAGTTCATTTCAAATAGCCTCAGTTTTCCAGCATTTAAAAAATTTTTTAAATATTTTTAAAGTACCAAGTGTCACACCTGATACATACCAGATACTTGGTAACACACACACACACACACACACACACACACACACACACACATATATGTGTTCACCATAAATGTTTGTTTACATTTATGTTTTTAAAAAGTAAGTCTGAATTTAAACAAAGTTACTTATTTTGTTCCATTTTTTCCCTTTATGATTAAATAGCACATATTTGTGAGGAGCTGCTACACAGAATTAGAAACTGGGGTCTTAAACTATGTTAGTGTGCTGTGTGGGTACTCTGACCATAAGCAGTCTCTCTAGCAACAGAAGTCAGGTTGCACAGAAGATTATTGCAACCCATTCTTTGAAAAAGCATATAAAATCAACTTGTAAATAAAAAGTAATGGTCTGGAAATTATAGGTGTACATCTAAATGCCTAAAAATATACATGACCAAAGGCAATAAGTGGAAAAATTTCCAGTTGATCAAACTCTTATTCATGAAAAATAATGAATTGGTAATGAAAAAAATGAGCTGTCTTTAAAGATAAAGGTGAATAAGCAATTTTCTTGATAGGATATTAAATCCCTGAAAAGATCAGGTGAAAATGCAACATTTCAATGTAATATTCAATCAGATAAAGTTGAAAATTTTCATTATTCTTTTCTCTCAGGGACTGTTATCTTGTGGCGCCTGGGCTTGCTTTGATGAGTTTAACAGAATTGATTTGGAAGTACTTTCCGTGGTTGCTCAACAAATCCTTACTATCCAAAGAGGTAATGAACTATACTGTCTCTGCAGTATATGATGATAGAAGAAACATGGGGGCCAGGGGGGTAATGAATTACACAAGCTACATGTATCTGTGTACTAAGTCATTTAACTTGTGACTACCCACAGGTATTAATGCAGGCACTAAAATACTAGTGTTTGAAGGAACCGAACTAAAACTTGACCCCACATGTGCTGTCTTTATTACAATGAACCCTGGGTATGCTGGGCGGTCAGAGCTGCCAGATAATCTGAAGGTATGGAGGGTTTAATTACAGAATCTATTTCCTTTCCACAATTTACAAAGCTAAGGTAAAAAAGAGATCATATGTTGTCATAGAATTGTATGCAAAAGATCTACTTTTATGCACAAAACTTTAGAGAATTACTCCAGAAGATGTTTAAAGATTCAGATATCTTTGCAAAATAAATATAGACACCAGGCACAGTTTCAACATTTTTATCATTTTAAAATAGTATTGATTATAGCAAGTTAGAAAATACAGGAAATTATGCATCCAGCTGCTTATTTTATCTTTACAGTTTTACATGCTTAAAAAATGTTCAAGTCCAACAATTGTGTATAGATAGGTTTTTTTAAGTTAATTTTAATTGGTAATGAGCATTTCTCCATCTTTATAAACATAATGCAAACTGTAAACACATTCACTGCACTAAGTCTTTACTGATAGACATTAGGTGGCTTTCAATTTTCCTGTATTATAAACAGTTCCAGGACAGACAGCTCCTACTTCAGGCCTCTCTCTGTTGTGAGCCACTTTTAGCTGAACTGCCTTCACCCAAAGTGAGCAGTTCGCCTTCCATATAGACTCCCAGTTCTCAATGACACACAACATGTGGTTTTGAAGTTAAAAAAGACAAAACATTTTCCTAGTTGAATAGAGCAGAACTTTCACCTAAAAAGTCCACTCTTTATTAGTGAAATATGACATTTTATCCATACTTTTGTTCACCATTTTATATACTTTGCTGATGAATTGCATGTTTGTGGTTTGTTTGCCAGGAACAACGTTGGAGAATGGCACGGTGATTGTAGTTTTCTGACTAAATCCCATCTGTTTCCTCTGCTCACATGCTTAGAGCCACAGCTCCTCGGAATAAAAGGGTAATTTCCCTTTTACACCGAGAAGTCATCAAATATGACTAATTGCTTCCAAATATCTTTGTATTTCCACTTTATCCCTGTATGTGTTAGATCAGGTGATTCAGCACTCTGTCTTAGTGTAGGAACATATGATTTCAAAATGAGAAGTGAGGGCCAGAGAAATAACTCATGGGTAAAGACACCTGTATCAAGCCTAAGGATATGAGACCAGGATCTATCTGTTCAAGGGATAGAAGTGACTCCCTCAAGTTGAACTCTGACCTCCACATGCAGACTGTGGCATTCATGCCCCCTCAGTAAATGTAATTTTAAAATTTTAAAAGAGAGCAGTTCTAAATCCTTTAAAAAGTATTTTGTGACTTTCATGACAATTGGAAAGCTTTTTGTAGCAATTCTGTTATGCATTCACTTATGTTACTCTTTTTTTATTCAGTACCATCAACCTGAATGTATAAATATTTATAAAGCAGGAAAGCAACAATCTGCGAGAAACTAGTCATAAACAGCTGGCAACCATGATTGGTCAAATCTGCTAATGCCCTAGGCAGACTGTTCCATGGTATACATGCTGAAATAATATAAAATGTTCATCCTGTGGTTCCTGGAGTAGTGCATTTTCCTTCTATAGTAAGCCAAAAGCTCTGCTCCATCTCTGATAGTTTTGTTGTCACTATTCCTCCTGCTGTGCTGTCTTTGTGGCTGGAGTTGCTACAGATATCAGTTTTCAAGTATATATGAAAATGCCTAGCTGGGTGTGGTGACCCAAGCCTGTAATTCAGTGCTCAGAAGGCAGGAGCAGGAAGATCAGGAGTTCAGGTCAACCTTGACTACATAGGTACTGAGACTTTGTCTCAGAAGAAAGAGAAGTTTCTAACAAGTCTAAAGTGAGTTTTGTGGTCCTTTAAAAATAATTCTGGGCCCAAGAAAGTATTATTACCAGTCTGTATCCTCGCTCTTGAACCCTTATCCAGCTTCACTTGGTGATTCAGTCACCAAACCCTCTTCTTTGATGACTCTATAATTCCTGTTGCTCCTGTCCATCCCCATTGCCACACCTCCTCACTTCTTCACTCTTCTTCTGGGCATTCTGTTGAGGCAGCTCCCTTGGCACCAGTGCCTTCCCAGCTGGAGTTCATTATCATGAATTCCCTGTTGCAATACTACCAATGTCTTTCATCAAATAAATCTAATATATAATTTCCAGACAGAAAAAATAACTACTGGGAGATGGGTTAATAGTTAATGGAAAGCTCTGCTCTTGCAGAGGACCAGAGTTTAGTTTCCAGCACCTACATCACGTGGCTCACAGCACCTATAACTCCAACTCTGGGGGAACTGATGCCTTCTTCAGGCCTCCATGGGTACCTACACTCATACATGCACAGACCTCCACACAGATACATACATATGTACATAATTTTTTAAAAATTTATATATTTTATTTAATTTTATTTTATGTGTATGAGTGTATTGCCTGCATGTGTGGGAGTGCACCCATGTCGTGCAATGCTGTGGAAGTCAGAAGAGGGTGTCAGATTCCCCTGCAACTGGAGTTAAGGATGGTTTATAGCCACCATGTGGGTGCTGGGAATCGAACCTGGGTCCTCTGCAAGAGCAATCAGTGCTCTTAACTGCTGAGCCATCTCTCTAGCCCCCAATTTTAAATTTTTTAAAAGGTCTTAAAAAATGACTAGGCTCCTTTTTGCCTACAAAAATAAAATTCGAGTTTCTTATTACAGACTATGAGAATCTTTTTAAAAATTTTATTTATTATTTTTATTTTATGTATATGTGTGTATTACCTGTATGTAGGTAAGTACACCCATGTCGTGCAATGCCCGCAGAGGTCAGAAGAGGCTGTTGGATCCCCTGGGACTGGAGTTATGGACAGTTGTTAGCTGCCATATGGGTGCTGGGATTTGAACCTGGGTCTTCTTCACGAACAACCAGCTGAGCCATCTATCCAGCCCCGAGAATCTTTTTTTTTTTAACTTAAAAAAAAATATTGAGAATTTCATACATGCATATAAGGTGTGTTGACACAAAAACATAACTCTCACCTCAAAGGGGATAAGAAATAGTTTATTCTGGAGCCAAATATGAGTGACCATGGCCCAGGAACACAGATTCAGGTTACCCCAAATTCCATGTTCCAGCGTGGTAACAGTTATATTACATTTTTATAGTAACAGAACAAAGAAAAGTCAAATCAAGACTCTTTTCAAATATTGGAGGATGCATTCAGTAGGCAGGTCACAGCAAAGTTAGGGGTTCTTTACTATAGGTCTCAGATGCTATCTGATGATGTTCTTAGCCTTTTGATTGGTGAGACCGAGTGGTCTGCTAAGTTAATACATTCTAAAAGGTTTTTATCTGTTAGTCACAGGATGTTAGATCAGAAACAGAGGTGGGCAAGGAGTGGCTGTTTAGGGGGCTAATGATGGCCTGAGATAAATGGTAATTAGACTCTGGACCTGCAACATTCCAAACTCCACAATCTCCAATCTCCAGAGTGATAACCAGTTGGTGAGCCTTGTAGGAAGTTCTGTCCAAGGTGCAGGAGTTCTTTTTGGGAACTTTTCTTTCACAGGTGTTTTGATCAAATCCATACCCACTCCCTCCCCTCCAACTCCTCCCATATCTCCCCTTCACTTTTTCCTGAACAACTTCTTGTACTCTTTTTTTTTTTTTTTCCAAATGGGGCTTTTGCTACTCTAACATTCCTCCCTCTGAAGAGGTAACCCTAAAATCTTTTAGGGATTAGATAAGCACTCCCAAATACTTTTGACATTTTTGGCCTTTGGAACAGAGTATGTTGCTAAGAGAACCAAGGACATTTGGACTTTTAGCCAAGAAACTGGCTACTTTTCAGTTAATGCGTGTGTGCTGCCATTTCCCTGTATCAGTCTGACACAAGGGTCTTGGTAGTCTCTGAATGCTCCTTGCCTTTCGGTTTGATGTTTGCTCTCTCTGGACTGTTCTGCTAAGCTGTCACTTCCCTGCCTGACAAATGAATTCAGTCTGCATGAACCACTCAGCATGCACACAGTTCAGGCATGACTGTGGGCTAAGTTCTGGACCTGACAGAGGTTCATGATTGAACCTTGGTGTGTCAATGTCTGTGGGTTCCTCAGGGACTCCTCTGTTAGGTCTCTTCTCTTCTGAAGCCTGAGCCTTGGGTGATGGATCCAGTTTCTCCAGTTCTCATTCCATCTCTTTTCCTGGGCCTCTGGTGGCCAGTTCTCCAACTTTATAGTTAGCTTTCAGTCTGCCAGGAGAGGTGTTGGGCAGCTGGGCTCTGTCCTTTATCATGTGTAGCTTGTTCATCCTCTCTTAGCAAACTTTGAGCATTAAGCTTATGGCCACAAGGTATTTTTGTTTCCTCCGACATGAATCCATATCCCCACTGCTATCTATCCCCCACATATGCAGGCATGCCTCCCGTTCTCTCATTGTACTTGGGGCAGTGTGGGGAATTGTGGGGCTCATTCACATCATAAAAGCAGCTCCTGGCAAAGAAAATCTTTTCACAAATCCCCACTTGCTTAATCCCTCAAATACTTTATGATCTACAAGTAGATAAGAGTGATTATGTACAATTCTTTTGTAAATTTTGCATATTGTGTGGTTTACATATATTGTGATAACTGATAAACATTATTTCTTGCAGAAAGAATCCCATTGTAACATTCTGTTACATCTGGATTAAAATCTGCAATTTCTCAAGCACATTTTCCAGTGTAGGGAAGCTCTATTTTAGATTAAAAACTACTCTAATAGTTGTTAACTCAAGATCTCCTATGATGTTTTGCCTCTGTATACATTGGTTAAAACATTGTGTAAGAGTCTGGATTCCAAGGTACTTGCTCCATATATTAATATTTTGTTATTTTTATTTTGTGTGTATGAGTGTATTGCCTTCATGTATGTGAGTGCACCCGTGTTGTGCAATGCGGAGGTCAGAAGAGGGCTCTGGATTCCCATGGAACTGGAGTTAAGGATGGTTCGTAGCCACCATGTGGTGGGTGCTGGGAATCAAACTTGGGTCCTCTGCAAGAGCAGTCAGTGCTCTTAACCACTGAGCCATCTCTCCAGCCCCTCCGGCTGTATTTTTTGACATTTTATTCTTGTGTGTGGGAGTATGTGCAGTTGTGCTTGTGTGTGTGGTGGCCAGAGTTGATACTGAGTATCTTCCTCAATCTCCTTTCCACCTTATTTTTCTGAGATAGAGACTCTCACTGAGATTGGAACTCACTAATTTGGCAAGACTGGCATGCCAACAAACCCCAGGGATCCTCTCATCTCTGCCTTCCCACCACTGCGATTGCAGGAATGTGTTGCTGTGCCCAGCATTTGACATGGGTGCTGGAGATCTGAACTCTAGCAATTTATATAATATGTTAGAAGCATCTTGCGTGATGCAGATATCTTAGTTGTTCTCAAAATTCTAAGAATCATAGTAGACCACCTAAGCCAGATGTCATGTGTTTTTATCTACCTTATATGTTTGGTAATCTAACTGATTTCCAGAGTGGCTATGAACTATGTGAATACAGTTACTAATCACCATAGAGCATTTTCCATTTCCTTGAAGAATGACTTTTCTTCTTTAGTCCAAGAAAGTCATGTTTAATAGGGAATCTATTAAAGTGAACCCTGATGCACACTAATATTCTAAACCTAAAATTTCATATTTATTCTTTAAAAATATATTTAATTTTATATTTACTTTCCATCACATGGCATCTATTTGTTCCATAATTTTTAAAATATCCTGAATATATCTTCATAATTTTCAAAATGATTTATTTCTAATAATAACCACCCATGACTTATTCCCTTATTTTCCCCACTCCTGTGCAAAGGGACTGGTCAGGCCACTACAAACTCAAAGGGTTCAGAATTTCCCCAAATAGTTCACCTACCAAATGAATGTAGTCATGTTGTTATGGTGGCCTGATCAACCCCAAGTTGTAAAATGATTTGGCTCCCTAGAGAGCTGTGATTGATATCCAGGCTTCAAGCAGCAGGCTCTTTCTCATCAGCCTGGGTGAGAGGCAGGACTTAGAGACATCCTAGCAGTCTGATGTTCTTTTTCTTGTAACATGTTGCTTTCCACAAAGAACATAGCATAACTGATACATAAGCATGTAGATACTGGGGCTGGAGAGATGGCTCCATACAGCTGGAGAGATGGCTGGAGAGTTAAGTACATTGGATGCTCTTGCAGAGGACCCAGGTTAGGTTCCCAGCACCTACATGGCAGCTAACAACAGTTCATAACTCCAGTTCCTGGGGATCCAATGCCCTCTTCTGACCTCTGCGTGCATTGCAGAACACTGGTGCACTTACATATATACAGGCAATACACTCATACACATAAAATAAATAAAATATTTAAAAAAATAAACAGAACAGTTTATAAAAAGTCAATGATTTACTTATTCTATATAAGGCATAGTAGAAAACCAATTTTTAAATTGTTTTGTGCATATGATTGACATTGTAATGAACACTTATTCAATAACAAGCTTTATTAATAAGTATGTAATTACTGTAGAAGAGCATAAAAATCATAGCATATTATGAAGCACAGAACAGGGCTCTTTCTGAAAGCCCCTTTCCTGTGCACTTGTAGGCTCTCTTTCGGACGGTAGCGATGATGGTCCCTGACTACGCCATGATTGCAGAGATAGTCCTGTACTCCTGCGGCTTTGTCACTGCTCGTCCGCTGTCAGTAAAAATTGTGGCTACCTATCGCCTGTGCTCAGAGCAGCTGTCCTCTCAACATCACTACGACTATGGAATGCGTGCCGTCAAGTCTGTACTCACAGCTGCTGGGAATCTAAAGGTAGAACCTAGTGCTTCTGGCTCCTAAAGTTTCTATTTGTGACTAGGACTAGGTGTCTTCACAGAGTTCCAGTATCTGGTTAGTTTCATTAACTAGCTGAAATAAAGTAATTATCTTGCCTACAATGAAAATAAGGTTTTATAATGTGTTGAAAATCCTTGTACAATTTTTCATGGCTTGAATTTATATATATATATGAAACTGGGTATTGTCAAATAACACAATTGCCATCAAGAAATATTTTGAAGATTTTTATTTTTATTTAAAAAATTTTATCCCATGATCTACAGTCAAGAAGTATTTTAAAGGTTTTCTATTTATATAATAAATAGCACTTTAAAGAGAATAATTTATAATTAATAAACACAGAAAGCCCTACTACACATTGTCACTTAATATAATTACCAATCAAAACCACTTGTGGACTCTCAGTAACAGATTAACAATAAAATGTTTACACTTTAAAATCATAACTGTATATGTAAGAATGCCAAGTAATTTAAGACTTGGTTAACTTCTTATTGGAAGTGGAACCATGTAATAGAAATGGATACTTGTTAATGCTTTATGAAGGCAAGATAAGTTGTTGTCAAGAGCAGAACCCAAAATGTGACCTTGGAGTTTACAAAATGTTCACATTCCTGATTTGTAGACATTACAGATTTTAAAATATACCCTACATGATTAAGAACAATGGTATGCATTTTTATCCTCTATAATAATGTTATCAATACTTGTGATATATAGTGGTAATATTCTAGTTCACATTAGCCTAACATAACTTCAAGCCATTGTTTATTTGCAATAAACACAAGTGCCTAGAAGCACCAATTTGTACTAACCTGGCATGTCAGGATTACTTCATGGCCAGATAATGGGAAAGATAATGCGTTGTCCTCGTGCCTGCCATCACTGAAATCTTGACTGTGGAATTGAGCTATTAAAGTTAGGCTGCAAATGAATCCTGCAAATGAATCCTATCATTCTTTGTCAAAAGCTAATTTAGAATTGTTGAATGTTTTGGCTTGAATATTATCAAGTTTGTTTCTATTACATCAAGAGACAATTTAAACATTTGCTTTAAAATAATAGCCTCTCAAATAACAACATGGGATTCTGACACTTCATAATTCATTTTCAGTTGCATTTATCAAAAAACGAAGTCCAGATGAGCAGAGTAAACTTTGACCTCTGGGAGATCTGAAGACTGACAGCCAAGCATCTGTGGACTTTGCACTTTATTAAGTCCCTTAATAAAGAACAAAGCTTTTTTTTTTTTTTAATGTTTTTGAAAAACAAGAGGGAGTTCTAGAAAACAAAAGACATTTTGTATGGTAGAAGAAACTGCGGAATGAGATGTTGAATAAAGAATTAAGGTGTGAGAAATAATTCTAAGGTTAGATTTTGTTTGGCACTAATTATGTGAATGTTAATATAGGCATAAATAACAAGTTCCAAGTTCAATCAGATTTGTCATAAACTTTTGGCATATCATAGAAGTTTAAGTTTCCTTAAACCTTCCGCCTGACTGACTTAGAAGCCAACCCTTTCCTCCTTCTCTGCGGACTTGCTGACATACATAGCATGCAAGCAGGAAGCCAGTGGGTTGTCTGCAGTAGGCTCTCTGCTGGCCTCCCAGTGCTCTACCCTCCCACTTCAACTCCTATCAGAGCTCACAACATTCTTCACCTACAGCCAGCTTGCTTGCTCCTCAACCTTTTTGAAGCCAGTTGGAACATGTATGTCATGTAATTACATGGGAGTGACACTGATGATATAAAAACAAAAAGGATTTGTTTCTATGAAAACTAATTCTTTTAAGAAAGATTTAGTGATGAAATGCTAAAATTGTGACTTTGAACTAGATGTTGGTGAAACAAATGTGTAAATGGAGAAACTGAAGTGTGGAAGAATGATACACTTAATGGTCGTACATCTGTCTTATGGAACAGAATAAAAACAACAAAACTGAATGCAGTAGGTGATGCATTGTTAATGTGGCTTTTGTAAAAACAAAAGCAAAACAAAAACCCCAGTCACAAAGAAAAGTAGAAACAAAACAAAGAACCAAAATGGTACAGAATTCTACACTATTAAAAAAAAAAAAAAAGACTGTGGTATCAAATTTATGGGCAAATAAGTGGATATTGTTTGTTTCAATTTTAAATACACCTTTTCAAAATAATACCCTGCTTTTATTGATTTTTTCCCCATAACTAACCCATCACTGGTTTCAAATGCCAGGATCAGCAAGTGTGCCTCAGTACACAGCAGTGGCCACTCTCATGCTGTATTGGCTTCGTACTGAGCACATCAATGGGAAAGTAGTTAGTTCATCTGAGGTTCATAGTACAAACCAATAGGAAATTCAAGTACTTTAAATGTCAGTTTCTGTAATTAAAACAATTCAAAAAATGAAAAAAAAAGTGAGCAATATTTTTGCATGTGTTTAAATTGCCTGTAGGGATTGTTTGATGAAGAAATCCTCATGACGACTTATTTTCTTTTAGCTGAAATATCCAAATGAAAATGAAGAAATTTTGCTACTTAGATCTATTATTGATGTAAATCTGCCAAAGTTTTTATCCCATGATTTACCACTCTTTGAGGTAAGTTATTCCAGAGTGTCAAAAATCTTAGAATAGTGCAGTTTTTATCAAACATCCAAGTTGGCAAAGCTTTCTACAAGACACTTGTGTTGTGAACAAACATGACATGGCACGGAGAAACAGATTATTCCTGTTTTTATTTGAAGAGTGTTTAGTTGGCTTGTTTTCTTTGATGATTTCAACAACTTGAATTTTTTTTAAGTCATGAATTTTTTAACTACAGAATGTAATGAATATACACAGTTAAAATGTCCATGAGAATGTAGACTGTGAAGAAAAATAATTTGGCTAACACATCACTGAATCCTCAGCACTGAATAGGTACTTGATTAAATAGGCGTTACATTTCTTTAAAAGAATGAGATGAAATTATTTTTCATGAAATTATTTTTTTAAGGATAATTTTACATAAGAACCAAGGTTGAAAATCTTGTTACATTTTAAGATTAGGTTATAAGTAACTAGGAGGAGGATATATTGATAATGAGCAGTTTCTATGATCAGTCTGCTGTCATTTACTTTATTGTATTTGGGGAAAGTACAGTATGAACAAGGATTCTAAGCACACAGTCGGGCTGCAGTGTGCTCTTACCCACACTGTGGTGTTGCTGTTTTCTCTCCTTTGTCACAAGGAAACTTACTGGATTATGTTGGTAGCTCAAATTTTAAAGTGTAAATCAAACATGCTTTCACATCAAGCACCTCTGAAATTTATCTTTTACCTTCAGAGTGAGAAAAGAATAATCATTTCTCCCATAAATTGTAATGAAGCTTATAAAATAGGCTTACCAGTTTATAAAGGTAAGTCCCTTAGACCTTGTAATTGATATTATGTATTCATAAGCACTATATGTGGGATCATAATTATCACTAAACACACGTTCTGTGGTTGTCTTAGCTCCCAAAGGATGCCACAGCAAAGATTATAAACATAAGCAGAAGACAGCATTTACCCTTGTGCAGTTCCGGAGGCAGGAAGGGTTAAATCAGGGTGTTGGGAAACCATGCCACCTCTGAAGGTTTTTTATTTTTTATTTTTAGAGAATCTTTCTTGCTTCTTCCTAGCTCCTGGTAGCTCTGTGCACACCTGGCTGTTTCTCGGCCTCTGGTAGCTTCACTGTAATCTCATGTAAATCAGTCATCTCATGGTCCTCTTCCCTGCATCCCAGTGTCTGAATCTATCTCTCCTTTCTCTTAGCATCATCCTAACCTAGTGTGACTTCTTAAAATATCTACACACATAAGACCCAATTTCACATTTGGCTTCATTTTGAGGTTTTGGGTCAACACAAAATATTCAACCCATATAATATATACACTGAAAATACTTCTGAGCTAACTCCTGATATGTATGGGGCATGGGTTAAAGCTGATTATTTGGGCAAAGCTAATTGTTCTAGAACCATTTTTGATGAGACTCTTTTCTTCACTATATTGCCTTCATTTTGTGTGTTTGTGTGAATAAGTTGCTGTGTATGTGTGAGTCTATTTATGGGGTCCTTGTTGGATTCTGGTCATGTATTTGTCACTTTACACCAAAATGGCAGTCTTCACAATAAGTTTAGGAACAGTTAGGCTTCCAAATTTGAAAGTTAGTTTGCAAAACTAAATGTAAAACCTCAAGGTATAAAATCTCTACTAGAAAATGAAGATTTGGAATGCTATATGTGCTGGATAGCTTTAGTGTCAGCTTGACACACCTAGTTGAGGGAGCCTCAATTGGGGAATTGCCTTCATTGGACTGGCCTGTGGCCATGTCCGTGGGTCACCTTCTTGATTTTTGAGTGATGTGGGAGGGCCCAGCCCACTGTGGGTGGTGCCACCCCTGGGCAGGTGGGCCTGTGTTGCATAAGAAAGCAGGCTGAGCAGGGGCCAGGGAAGCAAACCAGTAAGCAGTGTTCCTCCATGGCCTGTGCGCCAGCTCCTGCTTCCAGGTTCCTGCCCTGAGTTCCTATTGTGGGCTCCCTGATGAACTGTGGCCTGGGAGATGTAAGCCTAATAAACCCTTTCTTCCCCAAGCTGGTATTGGTCAGAGTATTTTGTCATAGCAATGAAGAAACAAACTAGGACACTATAGTTTGATAGGTCTCTTTCCATTTATATTTTAATTTATTGGCTAATATAAAGCTACTTATATTTTTAATATAAATATATAAAATATAAAATTTTCCCCCCATTCTCAGGGAATTACATCAGATTTGTTTCCTGGGGTAAAATTACCAAAACCAGATTATAATGACTTGCTGACAGCTATCAAAGACAACTGTGTTTCCATGAATTTGCAAATGACCTCATTCTTTTCTGAGAAAATCCTTCAGATATATGAAATGATGATTGTGCGTCATGGTTTTATGATTGTTGGAGAACCATTTGGAGGGAAAACCAGTGCATACCGTGTTTTAGCTGGAGCATTAGGTGACATATGTGAAAAGGTATGTTTGTGTTATTAATGCAGTAACTTATTGAGAATTAGCATTGTGCAAGAGTGAATACAGAGCCATTTAAAAATATACTTTCCGTGTGGCAATGTAAAATCATGAACACAAGAAAATTAGAGACAATAAAATTAGAAGGGCAAAATAAAGCAAGTAGACGTTCAGCACATGAAGGGTATGCGTGAATTTTCCTTTCAGTCTTCAGTTTCTTCTTTTTCAGTTAAAGGTAATACATATTCTTTGTATAAAACATCTGAAAATGCAGAAAAATTTGAAGGTTTTCTTTTCATGCTTTTAGGACAGTATTTTTTCTGGGAAGTTGTAAACCTCTATTATGAACCACCAATGATACTAGTTTAATGAAGTGTGTGTGTGTGTGTGTGTATATGTTTTATATATTAAATACATATGTGCATACATGACTATTATTAAAAATTATTTTTTAATATTTATTTTATTTATCTGAATGCATCTGTGGGCATTGGCATATATGTGTGAGTGCCCACAGATGCCAGAAGAGGGTTATCAGAGCCCCTGGAGCTGGAGTTACAGACAGTTGTGAACTACATGACATGGATGCTGGGAACCAAACTCCAACTCTCTGGAAGAGCAGTAAGTGCTCTTAACTGCTGGTTCATCTCTCCAGCCCCCAATCACTCAAAATTCTTAAACATGTCGCATTGTGGCCCACTTTGACATGCTGAATGAATAGTGTTCTTTTGACTTCTGCAGCTAATATTGCATTTCTAGCTGCTTCTTGTGTTTCGAATAGATTTGACCTCATATATTTCAGTGTTTGTAGCCTCTATGGAATTCTGATCATTACTGCAGTCTCCTTTTTGGTGAATATGAAGTCATTTGCTTGTCTCCTGTAGCTTGGGTCCACTAATCTGCTCCTACTTGCCCCTGCATATCTGTTTCCCTGTGGTTTTGCATGGTTCTTGGTATTACTGAACTTGCCCTTTATAGACAGCAAATAGTTGACTTTTAATTCTGCAGGTTGATATTCTTTATGTTTCTTGGGAAAACTGATGTTAGTTTATGTTTAGTGTTATAGAACTTGATAGGCTGCTCACTTCTGTACTTTTTCTACTCTGCTTTCTTCCTTTTCCTCTCCCTTCCCTTTCTAAACACCACACTAGCTCACCTTCTTGCCTTCCTTTTCTTTTTTGGACATGTATTGTTCTTCTGACTCTGTTTTATTGTTATGCCCACTACTTGGTTTTGCCACACACAAAATAAGGTCTCTAAAAGAATTAAACACAGAGTGTTTGCTCCAAGAGTGCCTGGTGTGAAGGGATAAGCATGCTTTCTGGTCACCTGTAAAGTGCAAATGGCTCGTTATCTGGAAATTCTAAGAATGACTTTGCAGTTTCCTCAGCTGCCCATGACCTACAGCTTCCCAGTAGACTTTGGAATAAAAACCTTTCTTTGTTGGCAGCTACTTTATCATGACTAAAAAGAGTACAGCTTTCCTGTGCTTCAAAATTGAGAATGCTAGTTGTAAAGCTCTTTCTGGCACAGAGAAGAAAGCAGAGACCTTGAGCTTTATGTTACTAGTTAAGATGTTTATTTACACATCTGTTCTTTAGTTTGCTAGTTTGTGTCCCAAGCTCTGGCAGTATTGGGGAAAATTGAACTCGTTATGTTGTTATATAAAATAAATGATAAAGGATAGGTTCAGCACGGGGGATTTTAAAAGTAGTTAAAATAATTCTGCACAATAATGGTGGCCACATGACATTATATACTTGGTAAAACCCATAGAATTAAACAACAAAGGCAACCCTAATACAAACAATGTGCCTTAGTTAACAATAATGTACTGTCATAGAGCCACTGGTGACAGCTGTGCCACATAGGGAATGGTGTTACTAATGGGGAAATGGTTGTCAGGCAGACAGAAGACATGTTTGACATCTGTGTAGTTTCTGTTCAGTTTTCTATAAATTCAGGGCTGTTCTAAAAATGAATTCTGTTAATGTAAAAAGAAGACTTATAATAATGCCATAGAGCCAGGGTTCTGGCCAAAATGGGCAATTTACTAATCTTAAGTTTTTGGCTCCACAGGAAGTCTCTATCAATACATCTTTTTATATTCTCTCAGAGAACATTTTGTAACAAGGGTCAGCAAATTACAGCCCATGTGCCAAATCCAGCCAAAGCCTATTTTTATAATACCAAGGAACTTATAATAGTGTTAACAGTTTTTACAATTTGTTTTCTTTAAAAAAAAAATAAAAGAAGAAGGAGAAAGAAATGAAAATAGAGTGCAGAGCTGAGGGCCTTTACCCAAATTAGTTGCCAACATGGTTTTACTTTTAGGTTTATGAGCCTGTACAACACTTGCTAATTTATTCCTGTGTATTTTGTTACTTTTAATTACTATTATAAGTGGAATGTTAAAATTTACTTTTCAGTTATTCATTGACATAAAGACAATAGAATTGACTTTTTTACACATTGACCTTATGTCTTTGCACCTTGTTAGATTTATTCCTTACTCTGGTAGTTTCTTTGTAGGCTCTTAAGAATATATAT